GGAAAAGAGGAAGAAGAGATGAGGGGGGAAGGAAGGAAAAGAGAAGGAGAAGAAGAAAAAAGGAAAATTTAATGGTCACTTACCCGCGCGTCGGCTTCGGGACCGGTGACATGGCAGCGATGACAACGAAGGCAGGGAGGTGCTGACGTGTTAGCGGTGACGAAGACAACGGCGATGGTGATGACGTGGCAGCAATCGACGATGACGAGGCAGCAATGTCGACGACGTGGCTGGCGACGACGTGGCGGCATTGAAAAGACGGTGACGATGACGACAATGTTGATGACGTGGCGGCGCCGGAGCAGGGCTGGAGGGAGGGCCGTTTTGCCGCTCCGATACCAGTGTGACGTGACCGAGGCAGAGCGGAGAGGTCGAGGGAGAGAGAGAGAGAGAGAGGGAGAGAGTGAGAGCACACACACACACTCACTCGACTCGGACACAGACTCGACTCGACACGACGGACGCAGACACGAAGTGGCAAAGTCTCAAAGTCGCAAGGTCGCAATCCTGGATTCCGAACACAAAGTCGCGGTAAGTCACACTGAAGCACAAGCACTGAGGCCGAAGACTGAATGCCCGAACTCAGCTTGAGTCCGGTCTTAAGTACAAGACTCAAGTTGAGTTCGAGGGCAGAATTGCAATTTGCCTCGGGGCTGAACTGAAAATCGAAGGTTCGAGCCTAGGCGCCAGAATGCCGGATGGCGCCAAGTATCAAAATCCGAAAGTGCCAGAGGCGGGATTTGAAAACGGGCGCCAACTGCACAGGGCGCCAATAGTCAGGAACCGAGATCAGAGACTCAAAAAGAAATTGGAATAGCAGCCTGGCGGGTGGTAACCCGCGGACCAGGGATCGAGCCCTGGCTGAGTCCGTAGCAGTTTATGTTTGCTTGTAGGTGGTGTACTCGTCTTAGTTTGGCTCTTAGGTCAAGAGGAAGATCCTATTCTGTCCATGAGGATGAGAGAGAATCTTGCCAGGGATGTGTGGATAGACGGGCTTGTAAACGGCACCAGCAAAGTGTATGGCATGAATGGTCAAACCAAGGTGAGGGGTCTAGTCCAGTTGGTCACCCACGGGGATGCAGCCCGAAGAGGGGTAAGGCACCCTCAACCTAGGGAAGCACAGCAAGCACTTCCTTGGGAAGCACATCTGGCCTGTAGAAGTAGTAGCCGCTTCTGCTTTGGTTGAGATGGCGGAATCCCTTACCATCTCGAAAGACGACCAAGGTTACTGACTCCTTAGTCACCCCGGAGGCACATCTGGACCACATGAAGCTCTGTTCATGGGATGTGTCGAGTCCTTAGAAGAGCTAGATGGTGAGAGCTGCTAGCTTCCTGGGTGACCACAAGTTAGAGGTCCTAAGAATCTGGTAGATGTCAACGTAGGTGGCCGTGTGGCTCTTGCAGACGTCGACGCTACCTAAGACTACACTAGTCGCATTTGTGTGATAAGACTGCAAATTGGGACTGTGCGCAGCGGCTAAGATGATCTGTAGTATCTAGCTTAGCCAATACGAAAAGCATTAGTGTGTCGGGGCTACATAACAGATGTAGCCGGTGCTTCCTCCAATGGGGGAAGGCAGCTAAAGACAATAGTCTAGCTGCCGGGAAGTGACAAGCTTCCTGTTATGTACCACGTCGGGATTGCAATGTTCCTAATTGGAGGGGGGCAATCACAGTGGGAAATGTAGCTAGTCTTTAAACCTTGGAGTGGAAGGCCCTCCAAACCTCTTTAGAGTAAGAAAACAAGTGTTGCCAAGTGTCCAAACCTTCTTAGGAGCTGTCAGGAGCTGTAAGCAATAAGGCTGCCCAAAAGATAGGGACCATTCCTTCTACTGTGGGTTAGACCTATAGGATACCGCCTATGATGCTGGACAGCGACTGACAAAGCTAGGAAAGAAGGGATGGATAGGGCCACATGCGTCTTCCTATAAATCTTCAAGTGTATTAATTGATAAGAGAAAGAAACGGGGACGTATAGAGACCGAGAATCTCAAAATAAGAGAATATATAAAAAATATATAATAACATGAATTTATAGGAGTATCCTATAATAAATGAATGAGAATAGCTTATTTTTAGAAAGACAGCGTGACGTGGCAGCATTGGTCAGGAATGTGGAATTTTCAGTGAACCTACTCCATGGGTTTCCAAAGTCCGCTACGTAAGTTAAAGTCCTTTCTTGTTTAATCTCATCCGTGCATCAAATATATTTGAAACCAAAGAGATGACAAGAGCAGGATGTTTACATAGAGGACTAGCAAAGTATCTTAGGAGAGTTGCCATCTCTCAGACCGCCGGGACTTAGTCATTTATGGACAAATCCCGGGAACGCTTTACTGGACTGCACAAAGACGTTAGTATTAGAGATGACCTCTTCTCCCTCGAAGGTGGAAGAAAGTGAGTGGACAGAGATGCAGTCAATTGCAAATGGCCTTCAGGAAACCATCCTGAAAGTGAAACAGACAGATAGTTGCGTCGAAAGCATAGACCAACAACAAACTTTCTCATATTGGAAAACCGATCAACAGTGGCGCCTGGCAGCTTAGAGGTTACCGCCAAACGGCTACAGTAGGTTTTCAATTTGTTTATGAGAACAAGTACAGTCCACAGTCCACACTTCATGTAGTAGAATGAGTCTGAGTGCTGTTTTCCACACTTGAAAGGAAGACTAACATCTCTAACAATACTATTTTCTGATTATTGGGTAGTCCTAGATACAACAGAGAATTTTAAAGATGGTCTTTTCTACGAGGTCCATATCCCTAAGCATTATAATCCTGCGTCGTAGAGATAGCAGGCTTTTTACATGGTGTATTAACGGAAGGACAATGACCTGCTGAAGCTGGAGCTGGACTGCAAGTGGAATTGACTTCCCCAACAGAATAACATGTAGGAATCGCAACTGCCGAACCATTGGGAGCAGGCGTTGAAGTTATCAAAGGGGTAGGCGTCTGCTTGTCTCCAAGTGGATATGCAGCCGAGTCCGAGCTCGAGCTTGCTCTGCAATATCTGACAATATTCTGTCTTAGTGGGATGCCTGAAGTCTTTGGAAGAACATCTTGAGGTCATGGATGGAGTCGTCAAAAGATTCATACTCTTTCCCGCAATGTCCAGATCACTAATCACCTAATCATCTATCCTGCCATCTATGTCTTGCAACTGTCTCTAAGTTTGAGTACCTGCCTAAAGAAGATGCATGTTGCCCCCAACCATGGCTGAAAACACCAACGACAAGCTCTGAAGGTGTGATGCTGTATATTCCAAAGTTCAAACCAGGGAGAAGGCTTGCAATTACATCAGCGATTCTCAACAAGCTAACAACTTTGAGCTGAGTAGCGGATGGAGCGAACAAAAGGCTTTCTCACGGGACTTTCGAAGCTAAGGAGGAAGGTATGCGAGGATTTAGTCCCTCGGCACTGTCTGAAAGGCCGCGGCCGCCCCAAGTGAAGGCGGGCCTGCAAATATGTGCCAATCCCTGTTTAAAGGCCTATGAGACCAGGCTGAGGGGCCCAAGAAGAGCCTGTTGGAACCCCTATGTGGGCATGGATCTTCGACGAGGTCCTGCTACGAGTTAAATCCTCGGCATGCCCCTGCGGGCCCTTTCAGCAAGCATGAGCCCGCCCTAAGTGAAGGTGGGCCCCTGAATTTCAATATGGCCTGAGTTCGTCAATTTTGGCAAAGTTTGCTGGGCGCCAGACAGTTGCCACGCGCCAGTTGGTTACATCCTCTATACTCGTGAGAATCCGAAATAATTCGTGAGCCTTCTAGGCTCTTCCAGCAGCACCGGTGAAGCAGAGAGAACCTCACATTTACTCCTGGGCGGTTGGGCAGGCCTAACCAACCCGGTCCCAGGCCACTGTCTGAATGGGCCTGGGCGCAGACACTTTGGCCCAAGCGGAAGCTACTGGAAACAGACGAGTCACAGCCAGACGGCAAACTGGGCGAGCACTTTCCATAAAGGAAAGAGTTCGTCACGGGTGGGGATATTGGGGGCACTAGGCAGTGCATGCGGAAGCGCTGCTTGAGCGTCTGCTGTGCGCTAGCGCTAGGTGCCAGGCAGTGTGCGCGGGCGCTGGAAGTAGGCAGGGCGCTGCTGAGGGCAGCGCCATAGCCAGCCCTACATAGTCAGGGCTTGGCTTGGATAGCCAGTGGAGGTGGTGGTGGTCTTTGTGTATGAGGAGGAAGACGTGGGTAGACAAGACGAGGGAGAGAGAGAGAGAGAGTGATGAGGATGATGATGTGAGGGCACGTACCTGGTCTTGGCGATGGTCTACAGGGTCGACATCTTCATGTACTTCGGTTGTTACTGCTGACGTCAACAGGATGCATTGTCAATTCGTAGGCTGGTAGTAGCTGTGTGATCGTAGTCTGGCCACTGAGCGGCAAGTAGGAGGAAGGGCTCTGGAGTCTGGATACATATGTTGGTGGTGGCGAGAGTATGCTCTCATTGACATTCGGATTCGGTGCTTTGGTTCTCCGTTGGTGTAATATCACTGCATTTCTGCTTTCTGGACAGCGTTGGACTTTCTGGCTTTCAAGTTTCAATGTGATTTTGCATTCTGGATTTCTGTCATTTCGCTATCTCTCATTTTCCTTGCAATATTTTTTTGTATTTTTATTTTTTTAGTAATTGTTTACTGATTTTTTTCAGAATTTCGATTCTAAAAAAACTCCATTAAAAAATCTGAAAAAAACTTAAAAAAAGTGTGTAGTACAAAATTGCAATGCAAACAACGTTTGCCTGAGGGTCTTGGAGAAATTCCCAACCAAATTTGAGATAAAAATAAAAATAAATTAAATAATGGCAGAACTACAGGCTTCTGAAAAGTTGTACCCTAAAACTCGTTCTATAACCTACGTACGTTGTATTGGAATACAACATACCCCGTACGTTGTATTCGTATACAAGGTACGTACATTTTTTTCGGGTTAAGAAGGTAGTCACAGCATTGACAGATGTGAACTCGGAACAGAGTCGAGCAATGATCATTGCAAACACTGCCTATAGCCATTGAGAGAAATCAGCACTGTGATGCATGCTTTTGCTGTCGGCACATTTTTATAATGTGGTTTGCTCTACGCTTTGAATGTGGTCTCAAGGGGTGGGAAGAAATGACACCGGAGGAAAGTGCAAAATCGTGGGCGTCATTGGCTTTGAGAAGAGGGGGAATCTGTCTGGTGCCCCATGTCGATATTGCAAAGGGGTCGTTATTGAAGACGGAGCAAAGCGACATAAACTCTGTGCTGAAGGCATCGTCAAACTTCAGCGCTGACAACTCGATTAAAATTGTTTTCAAGGTACCTTCAAGCAAACTGCTGCTTGTAATAACCTGCAAAATTGTGGACTGCAAAACCTGTCTTTTTCTTTGTTTTTGCCGTTGTTCTGAGTGTTTTGAACTGTTTTCTAGATTCCCGCTGTCTGAGTGTGTGTCTGGTCCAAGTGCTTGCTGATATCTGTGTACCGTGTGCTCACCCACCTGTCTGGAACTTGTGTGTGTGTATGTTACTATGTTCCTCTGATGATGGTCTGAGTGCTGGACTGGCCCTCTGGCCTGGTACTAACTGGTGGCTGTGTGTGTTTGGGGTTGCAGCGGGTAGGTTAATGGAAAGGAGGCCCACAAAGGCCAAAGATAAGTAGCAGCGGGTAGAGAGCAGAAAAGGACAAAAAGGTAGTACCTTTGGGCATGCCGAAGTACTCTTTTAGAGGTCCGGTAGGTTTAGGGGTAGGTACCAGTCAGGTAGGGCCCAGGTCTAGAGCCTGCAAAGGGGAGATATCGGACTGCAACAATGTTCCCACCAAAAGAGGCTGGGGAACAGGTAGGCCGAGATGCCGGGTAGCTGGAAAGTCACTGGGGGGAGTCCAGCCGCCAAGTATATGAGGCAGCGCGGAACTCTGCCTCATCTTCGTGTAGCAAGCCGTGGGGCTGCTGGGTCGCTCACCAGCCCAGTGTGGCGTTGGGTGGAGGAAGAAGGCAGAGCTGGCTCCCTCCCTGGCTATCGAGGTAGGTTCCAGAGTGAGGGATGAGGAAGATATGGCTATGGCCGAGGAGTGAGGAAGAAGAAAGGAGGGGGAGGAAGGAAGGAGGAGGAAGAAAGAGGAGGAGGAGGAGAGTGAAGGAGGAAGCTTACCTCAGCTATAGGGGACGGCATCTTCATCTCCTTGGTTGGCACTGCACCTGGAAGGCCCCTGGACGGGGTTATGAAGTCAAGAGGATTCCGAAGAGTAATGTAGCTGCCATGAATTGCAGTTGCTCCCGGGGGCTGTACACTAAGTTTGTCTGCTATTCCCCTGTTCTGAGCCCTGCGGGACTTGATCCCATGACCTACAGTTTGTATGTGTTGTTTACTAGCTTTGAGTCCTACTGGGCTTGATCCGTGAACCTCTCACTAGTAGTCTCTGTTTGGCGGTCTTAGACCCTTCAGCCTTGTTGTTTTGTCCTTTTCTGCTCTTCTGGAAACTGGTAGGCCCGTAGGTCTCTCTTTTGTGTGTCCTAGCCTCGGGTCCCCTTAGTCTCGGTTTCCATCTAGATGCATGCAGGTAGATCTTGACTGTTTGCCCGTAGGTGTTTGCTGTTTGGACGGTCTGATAGGTTTGTAGGTGGCTGCTGTGTAGTAGGGCTAGGGAAGTCAGGTAGAAGTAGGCAGAGGCCGACAAGTTTGGGGTTCTTTTCCATTTTCTTTGGAAGGGGCGACGGGAGTTACGTGAGCTGCAAAGCAGCACCTGTAGTAGGTCTTTCAGGTGCTGATGCTAGTGCCCTCACGTTGCTGTTTGAGGGGGTTGAAGGACGCTGCTGTTCATCAAGCGGCTTGTTGCTGGTTGAGCAGCCATCATCTTCTTCATCACGGTGGTTTGCGGCGCTGCGACTTGATATCTGGCTCATGCCAGATCACCACCTGTATTCACTGGCTCGGGGCATGATGGGATGCTGTTTTCAACAGTGGGCTATCATTAGAGGCTGGGGGTCGTAGGGAGAAGAGGCGGTTCACTGAAGCTTCGTTGAAGTGTATTGTTGGGGGTTAATTGGAGGTGGAAATAAATTCGTGGTTGAGATTCTCGGGGTTGTTTGATTGAGAGGAGGAGATCAGGGGGGTTTCATAAATAATTGATTGAAATTTGAAACAGTTTTCTCTCAATTTTTATATCTGGTTTTGGCTTCCGCTGTGCAATATCTCTCCATGGCTATGGCGTGGATCTGCTCTCTCTCCAGTCTGCCTGTCATTGCAGATGTGTATGGGAACATTTGAATGCGGTTTGAGTTGTGGATCAATCGAGCACATAACATAGGTTTGGTGGTGGAAGTGCCAGGACCAAGAGAGGTTTGCATTGTCCTTTGAACATCCGGGCTAGGCCTGGATTCTGCCGCCATAGCTGGACGCTCAACCAAGTAGTGATAGGAGGTGTAGGTAGTCAAAGGTGACTTCTTGTGAGTTAGGCAGAGCACTTCGTAGTTCAGGCAGCAGAGCACCTGTCTTGCAGCAAATCGACAAGCATATTCAACTAGCAGACATGCAGAGTTGCAAACAGTGCAAAGCAGGCTCAAGACTAAAGAAACAGAGAAAAGAAATTTGAAAAAAGTAGAGAGAGAGAGAGAGAGAGAGAGAGAGCACTGACAGTGCTGCCAGTACTCTGACGTTCTGAATTGAACTGCAAAGTTCGAACTTTTAAGTTAAGTTATATGAAGTTATGAACTTAAATTACTTAATTCCAAGGCTGCACTCCGGGCCGCCCGGCGCCCGGCTCGTCGCCCGGGCGGGGGGTCGGGCCGCCTGGCCGGTCGTCCCGCCCGGTTGGCCACCGGGCGACCCCAGCGCATCATAG